CACTTTGAATACACTCGAGTTTGAGAGAGGGAGGGAAAATTTAGAATAATATAGAAAAGCAGCGTCTCACCGCGGAGATACCCGAATGATGTATAAACGCGAGCATATGCGTATATTTCCATAAGGTCGAGTAACGTTTTTCTTTTCACCGCCAACGAACAAATAAACGAGGAAAAAATGTGTTTTTTCAGCATCATAATATTATTTAAACATACATCGCTGAGTTCGACGGTACGCTGGGTTTCGTATACGAATCGAAATTACTGGTTAAACGATCTGAATAATTTGGGCGGGTAATAATAATATATTCGAGAGAAAATAATTATTACAACATTTGGGCTGCATAATATAATATTATGTTGACGACTGTTTATTTCTCGAGCTGAAATCATCTTAAAGTGTTTGATATTCGAAGGTTATTCTGATTTAGTTGCCTTTCTACCTTTAAGTTCTAAACCGAACAAAATATAGCCATTATATAGAGGTACACTTTTGTCAACCTAGTGATTGGTATACCGACATACCGTGTGAATATTATAATATTAGCCATGTACTCCCATGGAAATCAAAGTTATCACATTGTCTGGTAAGGGGTGTTTTAAAAGTTTCAAAATAGTCTAGAGTACATAACGTATACTATAGTCATACATCTAAATATCATAAATTGGAAACGAATGGCACTTTTATGATAATATAGAATTTTCAGAGATTTCCTTTAGTTATTATGATATTTTTGTTACAACGATGGAAAGGAGCAAAGAACTTAAAAATTGTATTATAGGTTCTTTATAATAAAAACGCTTTGGTAACTTAAATATTTATGTAGGTAAACCCATAATAATCTTTGCGACTTGATATTTTTCTGACTGGAATTAGTGAATCATTTTTCTCTTTACCCTATACATAAGTGTTTTTAAGCCTTAAAGAACATTAAATATAATGCATTAAATTATTATAAGATATAAACTATTATTTATTAATGTTATAGAAAATTCGTAATCAATATAAGAGTAATACGCGTAACAAGGTTAAAAGTTGTATTTCATACATACATTTCCCCAACACCACCCATTTAGATTTTTCAACTTTTTCCAACGCCAATATTTAGTGCTCAATTCCTGCCAATTCCTGCCGCAAATCTCAGAATTCCTGCTCGAAATATGGTTGAGGACGTGTATTTCATAATATTTCAATTCCTAATATTGAAATCTCAATGTATTTAAAATGATAACCTATTGTTGAAAAATTATTGAACAATATTTTAAGTGGGTAATATTTCCTCCAAGTAATGCACGGAAATATTGATAAGTTAGGTTATACAATTAAGTCTTTTCAATATAATTCTACTAAAAGCGTAACACTTTATTATAAACTTATGAAGTAAATATTTTTATTAAACAAATAAAAGAAACCAAATTTGATTTGTCGAAAGATAGCAATTTAATATTATTATATAGTATAATTATAAAACACAAAATGGTAATAAATTTAATTTCATTCTACATTTTTTTTTAATGGAATTTTTTTTACGTCAGCATAGACTTCTTTGAAAAGGTTTGACAATTGTAGGTTGTTTATGGTATACTTAAGGAAACCATGGTAAAATTTCTAAAAAACCAATATTGAACTGGACTGGATTTTCAATAAATTTATGGTTCAGTCTATAAAGTCAAGAAATTATTAAATCTCTATTATGACCGAATCATTCTATGTAACTATTAACTACCTACCTAGAGGAAAGTAATTTAAAGACAAAAGTTACGAGTTAGCATAGGATTTCGAATATTTAGATTAGAGAGTTTATTTGTACACAAGTGACAAGTGTATAATAAATTGTTAAGTGTTTAATTATTGTGTATTTTTAACATATTTAAAATTCTCATTTTTATATTTTGTACTTTAAAAAAAGATAATATCCATAAAGATCTAATACATTTATCCATTGACCATTCTGCATATAATTGCAACACCTAGGTATAAGACATAAGTAGTAGGACACAACTATAATAGAAAGTATTATACATTTATGGTTTTTAAATAATTATAAAATATTAAATAATTATAATAAATAGGCCATAAGTTTTAATTTGTAGGAATAAATAGTTTCAATATATTTTTAAATTATAAATTTACCTTAATTTAGATCTATGTTAATAACCTAAAATAAGCCAGTAAATGTAAAAAAAAAATACAGTATTTTAAACACTTTAAATACTTTTCGAGTGTATATTTGTTCTTGAATCAAATCTACCTATTTGACATACTTTTGAAAAATATTTTTAAAAAGTTGGAAAAATAATGTCAACCTATTCAGAAAATATTTAATTTGATTTAATATTAAAAAAAATATATATAATAGTTATTTTCAGCTTTAAATCAGTTTTACTCGAGGTTAGTTTTTATAATTTGATAGCTTAAGCTCTGACTTATAAAGCTATACACATGGGACATTTTAATAAATAAAAATATACTTTACAAGTGTCATTTCAGGGAAAATTATGTATACCTCGAGATTATGTATGTAAATGAAGCATTTTAAGCACAACTGTTAAACCGTGTCAATACGAATAGCCATTTTATGTATTTGTTTCTATATTTTAACACCAATGTGATGTACTATGTAGCAGTTATTGTTTGAACATTTTTTAATAAATCTAATCAATATCAAGGCATTTGACACTGAAGTAAGTACTTAATATTTAAAATGTCCATTGTATTATTTTGATTAAAATTTTACTTCGTTTGATAAATTATTGATATTTCGTCGGTCAACTTCAGATCGCTATACGACCCACAATGCTCTTATTTGAAAACCTTGTGAGTTGTGACCAATTCGAACGGTATAATTGATAATTAAAATTCTGTGTTCTAAGAGACGACAAACTGTCTGACAAACACACGCGCTTATTCCATTTCTTAATTACCAATAACTATTCACGCTGCAAAACGGTATGCAATTTCATCACGTAATTAAATCTTTAATGTACATAATATATGATATTTTATAACACGTGTAGTTGTAGTCTGTATTGTTCTATAGTAATCCAATATTATAAAGACTGTTTATGAGATATCGTTTTCGAAATCTCATAACGAAGATACTCATAATATTATGATTTACATTAGTGGTTATGGAGGTGGTGGTAGTGGCTGCCACTCCTCCTCTTGGCCAAAGCTAAGATTTTTTTCAAATGTAGGAATTATGTATGTTTTATTCATAATTTTCATAAAATATAACATTTTAATTATTAAATTAAATCAAATTGGATGGCACAGATTAAGAACTATTTTTGAATTTAATGTTCCATTTTGTTATTTTAATTTAATAATTAATAATATATAGGTATGTAAAGATGGTTGAAACTATAAGATGATTGATGTGTACTTACATATAAGAGTACATTAGGTTATTATTTACCAATGTAAAAAAAAATCTTTGTAATGTTTTCTACAAACACAGATACTTACCTAAAATAAATAAACAATTTATGAGTGATTCTTAAAACATTTTTTTAAAATTTTATTTGAAAAACATTATCTACGGATAACAATTATTATTGTGGACGTTCGATATACAATTCAACTAGCCCAGTTTTTGTATCTCAGTTAGCCTCATTTTGAGTGTTACCTCCCTCCCCTTATTTAAGTTTACACCCGATTGACATGATCAATAAACACATGCGATATGGTTTGACAAATTATTCGTCAACCATTAAAATATTTTAATTTGTAGCGAAAGGAGACATCTTGCAGTTTAATTAATAATTTATCAATGGCGAGCTGACAACGAAAAAGCGTCCAAAGATTTGACACGTGTCGGCGAAAGTGAAATGAGCGTGTATATCTACATAATAATATTTCAACGCAGCCGCGAAATATGGTAAAAACGTATATGGCATAAAATAATTTACACACTTACGTACAATATCACTTCTGTAATTATTATAAGTGTGCATAATATACAAACCAAGTTTCATGTAGGTACCCACTCTTTTAAAAACGAGTCACTTGACATTATTTTGAATAAACGTTAAAATGTTCCTTTACCTCCGCAACTTGCTTGGCATAATTATAACGAATAACACGTTGTTTCTGACATAACTCGTTACCGAAAGATTTAATTTTAATAGCAAATTTAACACACGGAATATTTAATTTTAATTGGTTTTTCGTCTGCCTTACACGCTATAAGATTTTCTTTGAAATGCACAACGAAAAATTTCAAGAGTAGACGGCAAAACAATAATAATACCTAATCGGTTGGCGTTTGTAGGTTTTGAAGTGTAAAAAAAATAACGAAAACCGTCGACGCACGTAATAGGTATATATAGCAATCATCCGAAAAAACCAATTCCATTTTCCTCCTTGAAATAACGACATGATATTTTTCAATTATTTCGTTTCATATAGTTACTATTAATATAATTAATACGTCAGTCAATCGATGCATGAATAAAATTAATATCGAATAACATAATCATTCTGACTATAGGTACGTTATTCTGACTGTATACAACTCAATTTTCTGTTTTCTATTCATTTTCAATAACTATATATTATAATATTTTGTTCATTGTGTACTACTACCCGACCAACCTTTTATAATAATATGTGCATTATAGTGTTAGTGTATGCTGCAGAGCGTTATTGTATTGTATATTCGAGAAACGCACAAACGTATTTGCGAGGTACATCATATATGTTATCTAATTTGATTAAATAATTCCTATATATGCCAAGTTGCATAAAAAAATTGATTAGTATAATGGTTCAATACAATTTAATCATGTGCTACTATAACATATTTTCGTGCTTAAAGGACCATTTAGGTCGATATTGATTCATTATAATAGACCAGAATTTTTTGGATGTAAATGGACATAGAGTACCTATATTTTTTTCTCTTCCAGTGAAGTACATTTTTTTTTGTGGTTGTGCTGTGCTCAACAGAGGTATTGTACCTAGATTATGTTAATATTTTTGTATATTTTTGGACTTACCGATAGTGGTGATCAACGTCAACGAGTACAGGAACGATGACGCGAAATTCCACCGGTGTCTTCGATCGGTCTGGTTGGGGCCCCCGTACTTCCTGATCAACGAGTCCTGGAACTTGAGGATCTCCTCTTCGGCCAGCCTGGTCCAGTTGTCCCGGTATAGGATGTTCAGGTCTTCGGTGATTTTCCACAGCTTCTCGACAGTCTGCGCCCTGAGCTTGTCGTTCCGGGCCAACTGGTACTGTGACTGCGACTGTTGTTGTTGCTGGTGCTGCTGTTGCTGTTGCTGGTGTTGCTGCGGCTGGTTGTGCTGCTGTTGCTGTTGCTGTTGTTGCTGGGTCTGAGGCTGGGGCTGTGGGTGCTGCTGCCCGCCTCTGATCGATTGCACGCTGTCCCGGCCGCCATTTTCCAACGTCATGAACGTAAAAGCGCCAAACATCGTGTAGCCCAACACTATCAGACATATTCCGGCGCCAGAGAGAACTGTCGGAGCGGGGTCACAACAACTATGCCTAAAAACAGAACGAAAAAAATGTGTTTTTAAAATTTTTTCAATCGTTAGACATATGTCACGTGCCGTTTTCAGTAGGCATACTTGCAATACTGTGTGGATATTACATCTGGTAGGTAAAAAGTCCACATATCGACAAAAAATAGAAATGTCGACGTTTATGAGTTTTGGCAAGACACCGACGATATACGAGTAATACAATGTAAGGAAGAGTCGTTACCGTCGTTGAAAATCATACATTTTTATGAAATAAACTTAGGAACCTATTTGACGATATATCTATTTAAACTGTAATCATTAATGTGGGTCATAATAAAAATAAAATTATAAGTTAACAATTTTTCATGTAAAAGTCTTGAAAAATTCAATCCTTTTCTACTGTACTCGGGGTCCGCCTTTGTGTTATTATGTCAGCACTTTTACGATTGGTCGAAACCATACATTATATACGATTAACAAACATTTTGAAAAAAAAGCATCGCATACCGCCGTGGGACATAAGTTCAAACTCAGTTGTATATTACATGCATGTATTTGTTGGACTTTTTTAAATTTATTAACGGAAAATGTGAAAAAATAATATTTATGTACGTAAACTTTTGTACCGAAAACAAAAAAGGAACTTTCATCGAGTCATGTTTTGTTAGAAAGCGGAGATTATATTATATACCTACTGTAAATCCCGGTACATTCGAACAATATATTTCTATTGTGTGTTTCAGTGTCTGGCGTTAAAAGAAACACTCCTGTGGCCACAGCCCATGGCTAACACTTTGTTTCTTAACAGCGTGACAACTTAATATAACTAATATTAAGACTTAAGAGTATTGCAAACTCATCTACGGCGAGATACAAACGGATTTAAAAAGTATTGTTTTTTTATGTTTAATTTAAATTCTATACATAAATATTTTTCTAGTAAACATTTTGATACGCCGCTGCCAGGGTTTATTGTAATAACTAATAGGTATATATACCAACTATACACCACAATCAAAAAACAATTTTATTTTGTATAATTTAAACATTTCAAAACTATAAATATTTACACAGGCATTAAAGGGTATAACTCAATATCTAATTGCTATCGTATAACGATCAATACGTATTAAAAACGATTAATAGTGGTTATAATTTAAAACTAAAATCTCCTTCTGAGCTGTAATAATATTATAATATATGATTCACATATCATATTAACTAGTGTAAAAAATAATTAAACTTTCATAACACGAAACGTGCAATGTATAACTCGTTGACCTACGTAGGGATCCTTTTACCAGCCATTAAATTGATTTGTCAATTAAACCAATAATTAACTGATAGGCACGTGACAAATTCGAAAAATATTCAATATAATTACGCACTGAATACATTTGCTCAATACATAAAAAATATTATGAACAAATTGCATTGGGGCCCTCCAGACTGGAGACCTCCAGGCTGGTTATGGCGGTGATACGTATCGAGAACATTACTGTTGTATACTGCAAGCACGGAAAACTGTTATCAATACGCAAATACGCTTCGAGCTGTCACTTCGCACCATTAAAATTGTAAATGGACTTTTCGGGAATGTTTAAATGGAAAGACGTGACACTATTCCAATCTTCGATCGCAGCACGAAACAGTAACGAAATTTTAAATCACTATTGCAGAAATGCGTCACTGCGGTGACTTCTGGCAAACGTTACACGAAGTTAGACAATATAAGATTTGTTTAACATTTAAAATGAAAAAAAAACTTCACATGCAAATGGTACGAAAGAACCAACAAATCTAGAGCTGTAGGAAAATTAAAAAGACGAACAACAGGAAGAGACAAAATATATGAGAAGCGGAATGTAGAAAGGTGAGTTGCAAAATGTGGAATGGCACGCAAAACGAAAAATAACATTTCTCGCCCGTAGCAGGGTTGACGTTCCTACGCGCTCTTACTTTCAGTCAAGAACTAAGACAAATAAGGTAGAGTGATACAAAAATCTACTGGTTCACAAACTAAATCTAATTATAATGGCCCCTAGCCAATTTAAGTCATAACGAAAAACATAGAAATGTATTTTTAATCAACACTCATCCTACAGCCGGTTCATAGAACGTAATAGTTAAAATCGATTCCAGGTTTATTTTTTTTTTCACAAAAGTTATGTACGTATCATAATATTGGGTAAAGGAACATTGACGTAAAATACGTTACGAGGTTGTAGTTGGGAAGACTTAGGCGATGCAAAATGTATTTTGCTTTTAATAAAACAATATAATATTTATTGTGTGTAAAATATAATTAAATGTTTAAATTCGTTTTTAAATTAAAATGTTAACAATATTAAGGTTGTTAGTTGTTACTTAACGTTTGTGCGATCGTAGCTAAAATGTAATTGTTAAACACAGACCGTTCTTCGAAAAACAATGTGTTGTTAAGTATGTCTATAGAACTTTCTAAAACACAATGTTACTACAAAAGTATTAGTAGAATTGCTTTTACTCCCCTCGCAGGAGGTATCGGAATCTTATTAGTGCATACTTCGATACTCGCGTATCACAACGAACGTCCAAAGTTTAACAATACGGCCATATATGAAGAAGAAACGTATAAACTTTAAACGGTATATTATACGACTGTACGAGAAAATTCGATGAAATAATATTATGTTGGTTTGGCAAATATTTGCGCGACATTAATCGAGAGCGTATAGTTTAAACGAAGACAAAATCGTTGGTTCCAACTAAAATATTACTAAAATGGGGATGTACGTCAATCCGGCAGGCATAATGAAATCACATTTCCCGATTAAATATGAAAATATGAACATTGATCAGACTGCTCAGAGTTAATAACGTACCCGTCGACTGTAGCAACTATGACACGCTGATAGGTTGCCCTATATATGCGTCGCGCAGTCTATAATGTGAGCTGCTGCAGTATAATATTAATATAATATCTAATATCATATACCTGCAGTTTGGGTCTGATGCTTTTCATTCAATAAAACTGTAAACATCAACGGTGAAAATATTCGCGCGGAGCTGTGTGTTATTCGCTTTGTACATAATGCGCTGTGTTATTCAAATCCAGTGCTTCGAGATTAATTGAAAAAGTAACAAATAATTAATCAACCGACCCGTCGCAAAGTGTAGGTAGATATCAAATGATTTATACAGTAGAACAACAGACTGCAGCAGACCGTATCGTGGAAGCCTTACTTAATATAATCTGTTAATCTGTATGTGTGTGTGTATGTGTGTGTGTGTGTGTGTGTGCGTGTGTGTGTTACACAGCTATTGCTGTATAATGTAAGGAATACGGGTGGACCATAAAATCTCATTTTGGTTGTCTTAAAACAAACGAGTAATAAAATTATTTTGGTCACGTCCTACACGACTACAACCGCACGGAAACCGTCGAAACTGCGTGTACACTACCAAACCGTAACCGCCGGTCCCGTACTGCGGGCTACTCCTAAGTTCTGCAGAGTGGTTGTAGTGGTACATATAAGGTAATTGAAAAACATCAAATTATAGAAGTACGGCCATTAGCTAATTTGTGGCGTCGTGTCGCTCAGAGGGCGTCGCACGTTTATTGCCCACACCAAAGCTCGCGGTGACCACCGTATTATTATTTCCTTGATAATACGGAATAATGCACATACAAATATAATTTTTGTACGAGTGTTATTGTGTCCGCGTACTCCGAGGTGTCCTTTCGGGCCAAGAGATGGGCGCCTAGGTATGGGATAGATTGAATTTCGTTTTCAAACTTTTCTAACGAAACTTTTGAATAACTTCATTTTTTTTTTCACGCTGCTGTTCCAAATACACCCCCCCCCCCCCCCAAGTGACACATCATCAACTTTTTTTCCGTAATTTTCGGTCTTCGGAGGGGAGGGGTGGACACAAGTTGTATTTCAATGTTCAGTTTTTCAGTGAAACATTTGAATAATTCCACGAATTCTTGATCGAAAATCGTGAATTGTCGCAGATATATTCCCCCTCCTTCTCCAGATGTCACATCATCACAGGGTTTCAAATATTATTTGGCGAGGTATATGAGGAAGACAGAGGATAACACGCATTGTATTTGAATGTTCAAGTTTTTCGGCGAGGTGTATGAATAATTCCACGTTTTTTTTTACGGTTAGTTGTTGCAAACACCTCCTCCCCCCATCCACGTATGTCATTTCAATCGATCTATTCCCGGTTTCGACTAAGTGGAGAGGGGGTGCACATGTAGGCATCTACCAATTTTTAGGTGGGACATTTTTTTTACCTACACTGACGATTTATTCAGCTTGTTCAAGCACGAAAACGTCATATTAGTTTTTCATCATGCAAATCAGGGTATTCTCAAATGTCAAACGTTGTACATTCCGCATTGTATAGAGTTATCCAGAGCGCTTCATTGTACGTCATAATACGAAAAATTATATTTATATTCAACAACCACAGTTATATTGTACTATAGTATATAGGTAGTAAGTAATTGACATTTTAAGATCAATACTTTATTTTATAATTTATCATTTAAACGATTAAATTATTAAAATTAGGTGCTAATCTTAATTTTTTTAATATTCTATTTTATGCCATCACTAAGCATTTAGTTACACTAAAGCGTATGCATATATTAATTCAGTCGACAGTAACTGATGTGTAATAGTTTTGGACAATATATATATATAGTTTGATAATATTAGAAATAAAAGAAAAAAGCGTAACCGCGTCTCCACACTAAAACTCGGATACTCAAGTTACGAGCAAGATGTGTGAAAAATTTGACATGTTGAAGTACAGTTAAATAAGTGGCACAATATGTGATTTCACAAACAGTACAGGTATTCATAGTATGTATTTGGGGAGTGGCATCATGCATTACGGTTTTCCATCCGTTCCGCGGCGTCAGCTCTGCGGGAAAAATCATCCAAACCCTTCTGTGTAGTATTTTGTGCGTACAGTGCAAAGCTACTTCGTGTATGACGTTGAAACGAAGAAGAATCAAAAGCC